TTTAATGAGGGGTTATCCACATGAGATATATGTAGAAATAGTGTCTACGTGTACGCAACAAAGTACTCGACCAGATCAACAAGCTACCTATTTTTCCGGATACACAGAGTCCTTCCGAATGCCCTCACAAGACATTCCATCAACTGAATATGGGATGGGGTCCTTCAGCAGACTGCTTCATGACGATCGGTTCCAGATGTCGTTGAGTACTGCAATCAAAGGCCTACGCAAACACATACGCTCCCCAATTCTGGCCTATCCCTTGTGAGACGGCATGGAGAGAGTATGGAGGGCCTAAACTCATTCCCGACAACAGCATGGTACGAGGACAAGGACACCCTAAGTCAAGGCGCATACGCAATGAAATGGATGAGACCAACCGTCCCGTGAGCAAATGCGGCCTCTGTCACTAGCAGGGTCACAACAAGAGATCGTGTCCACCTAGATCGACCGGGCATTGAGTTTTTTTTTTTGTTATCTAGAGTGATTGGTAGTAGAATAGTACGGTGATTGTATTTCTGCATTTCAAATGATTGTAACAGTTGGATTTTTAGATTGAAGTATGAGATTTGAAATTCTGTATTTTGTTATCGCTTGTCTGTAATTGTTACTTTTTAATTGTTGGATTATAACTGTTTATGAACGGATACCATGGACACCCGAGATAGGACACCCGGACCCACCGACCCTTATGTCCTTACACTACAGGACACACATCGTAGCGTTGACATTTGGACTCAGTCGGTTGATCCGGCGGGCATACTGACATGCAGGCACTACACTATCGCGTTCCTTGGCGATTGGGTTATCGATCCCCGCATTTTGCCTTTCGTGGAGTACGCTGGCTTCATGAGTATACATCGGATGACGTTCAGAGAGGTCGACCCAGCGCTTGTTACTGCGCTTGTGGAGAGATGGAGACAGGAGATGCACTCCTTCCATCTACCTGTTGGGGAGGCGACCATGACGTTGCGAGACGTGGCGATACTCACACGGCTTCCCATTCATGGGAGTCCGGTGTCTGGATCTGCGTTGGCCGATCCCCCCGGTTATGTAGCTCAGGTTCTCGAGGTTCAGCTAGGCCCGGACGATATCAGGGGCGGCGGATTGAGGACTGGTTGGATACGCGACACTTTTCGTGTGTTGCCAGATGGTGCTGATGAGGCCACTGTTGCGAGACATGCTCGAGCGTACCTTTTTCTGCTTATCTCGGGTGTGTTGTTCGGTGGCAAGAGTGGGAGCCATTTACATATCATTTACCTGCAGCTGTTAGACCACGACTGGGAGCATATTCGTGGCTACAGCTGGGGCAGTGCTTGTCTGGCGATGTTGTATCGCCATCTGTGTAGAGCATCCCGTCGGGGTTCTCGTGAGATCAGCGGTCCGTTATTTTTGCTTCAGGTAACCTACCTATCTGTTAACAATTTAATTCGGAAAGTTCTTACTTAGTTTATAATTAACCTAGTTTTGTGTGTTTGATGTCCAGTATTGGTCTTGGGAGCACATCCATGTAGTCAGGCCAGGTAGGCCTGCTATACATCGTCAGGGGCAACAGGATCAGGACCAGCAGTATGAGAGGTACATTCCTCCACCACGGCCTTCCGCTGGCGAGGCGTACGGTTGCAGATGGGCGATCCCCAAGCTGACATATGCGCATGCGGCGAGGGGCCTTCCGTACTACCGAGACGCCCTTGATCGACTCACCGAGTATCAGGTGATAACTTTAATTTATTTAGTAAATAGTTATTTATTATGTATACTCTTAACATATTTAATATGCACTAACCTGTTTATTATATTACTTTGTATGTGTTATCGCAGATGACATGGGACCCGTATGAAGCTGATTTAGTTGCTGCCATGCCTCCACATCTGCTAGATCATCAGGCGCAGTGGCATTCTAGGGTCCCCCTGATCTGTTTTGAGGTTGTGGAGGGTCACCTACCGGATCGAGTCATGCGACAGTTTGGACTACGCCAGCCTGTCCCCCAACAGTGTGATACTAGTGCCCGGCTACACCGCATTGACCGTCGGGGAAAGAGCGACAGGAACTGGCGGACGGAGCATGCCCAGTACATTGACTTGTGGCATCGACGGTTAGAGTTCGTCGTCACTAGTGACCCCATCCATGGCGTTATGGATCCATACGATCCATACATGGAGTGGTACATGCGGATTACACGACGTTTCATCAACCCCAGCTACACGCCGCCATCCTCACATTACCATCCATCCTTTGACGTGATCAGGGGATATGTAAGTGTATTTGATTAACTTATTTTTTTCATTTTTTAATTTGTATATCATGCAACTAACTCATCCATAATTACTGCATGCGTTGGATATGACGGCGATGGTTGACGCACTGTCGGATGTCCTTCCAGGCATACCTAAGCCGCCCAGAGCACAGGTCGAGCGGGTGCGAGATATGGGCATGGCTACCTTGCAGAGATATGGTCACGCCTATCTCGTCCACCCCCGGGACGATCATGGCGGCCACTCTAGTCACTCACAGTTCGAGGCTGGCCAGAGTAGCTGTGGGGGTGATCCTGCGTCATTCACGGGCGCAGAGGAGTACGACATTCGCAGTTCCGCGCCCCTACGTCATCCTGATGACCCATCGTCCAGCCAGCTAACTCCGCTGGTGGAGGAGGAGGGTGGTGGAGGTGGTGGATGTGGAGGAGGAGGGTGGTGGAGGTGGTGGATGTGGAGGAGGAGGGTGGTGGTGGTGGTGGATGTGGAGGAGGAGGGTGGTGGAGGTGGTGGGTGTGGTGGGTGTGGAGGAGGAGGGTGGTGGTGGTGGTGCATGTGGAGGAGGAGGGTGGTGGTGTTGGTGGATGTGGAGGAGGGTGGTGGATGTGGAAGGGGGCTGCTGGGGCTGCTGTTGGGGCTGTTGTTGCTGGTTTCAGCCAGCAGATAAAACGCTGACTGAGGCAGCGTTTTATACTAAGGAATAAAACGTTGCCTCAGTCAGCGTTTTTTTTCAGTTATGCCTACACAAAAAACGCTGACTGAGTCAGCGTTTTAGTGTATTTCCATTTTTTTTAAAATTTGTATTTCACAAAATACGAATTTTAAAAAAAAAAATAACAAAACCTCAGAAGCTCAGTTTCGTAAATAGTTTGGCCACACGTCTAGATTGGTAAATTGTTTGCCAACTAAGCTTACTTTCATAAAAAATCCGGTCGCTTTTTTGTCTATACCCCATTTTATGTGAACATTCAAGGAGGAGTGTTGAGAAAATGTCAAAAGTGAAGTTCACATGAACTTGTAACACAATAATTTGTAGTTCATCACATGAACAAATTTAGGACAATAATTTGTATAAAAATACAATTATGTAAAATATTTTAATGGCAATATTTGCCTATAAATAAGTTCACTGTTTTGTGAACTAAAGAAGTAAGAAGAAAAACAATTGAATTTCCTACTTACTCTATTTACTCTCTTCTATCTCCATTTTCATAAAATATCCAATATCATTCTATAGTTAGAAAAACTTTCATCTTTAACATGTCATCAACACTAATTCCTAGTTAGGTATATTTATACCTACTTCTCAAAATAACAAATAAATACTATCTACTTCTAAATGTTTTGAGGAGTATGCTCTATAGTTGCCCATATTTTGGGATCATCTATACCGGAAACTCAAACATTTACTGTATCATATATCACAAAAAAAAAAAAAAAACGGTGAAATTTATTCTCTTACTTACTATCCTCCCTTGTTTTATTCATGTTGGTATCTTGGTTTTTTGTTTGATTCATGCATGTTGATATTACATACTCACCTTTTATGTAAAATTTAATTTTAGTTATTATAACTGCTTAGTAGTAACTTTGCATGCATTATTAACTAAATTGACAAATAGAAGCAACCTTTTTTTTTATACTTATTATTTTTTTTCTTTCTTTTACGTAGCTTTTGTGTTTCTTTCCGTTTTCAAACCCCATGATCTTTTATAGATATTAGGGCTCTCAAACCACTATGGCTTGCATTCCTAGTGTGATAACCTTTTACAATTATAAATATTTATATTTGGATCATAATTTTGCCAGTACATTAGACTATTATATGATATTTTTACAGTTGTACAGAATAGTAACGGATAAACCTACCTCTATAAAAGACAGATTCCCCCCTCCCCCCTCGATTTCACCACAAATCCCTTATCCTTTTCCATTTTTTTTATCCAAAAATCACCCAAAATTTTTCACCCCTTCTTCTCCGATATGTTCCCCGACGACGACAACCAAAACACCCACTCCTTCGCTTTTGAGGAAGATTTAAGGAAGATAAAACAATATTTTCTTCTAATTATGGCGCTTGTAGTTCTGTTAGTAGCAATATTAATTTTTATCATGATGTACAAGTGAAATTTGTTTATTTGTCGTCTTAGTAGATTACAAGCATGTTTTTGTTTTATTATGTTGTTTTGTTGTTATTAATATCATTGTATAATATTATCGTTATTATTATAATTATTGTTACTACTGTTGTTGTCATTTTGCTATTTATGCGACCAATATGATTTAATTTTGCCTATTTATTTAATTACTCACAATAATAAACCAAGGGGGAGAAAAGAACTATATTATTTATGGTTTATTATTGTTAAATAAATTAATTATCATGTGTTTCATTAACAAACTATAAATATGGAAGAATTAAACCTATGTGTTGTACATGTGATTTATTATTATAAAATAATTATCACGTAATTTGTTGTAGTTAAAATGGGAGATCTGAAAAGACAATTCAGCATCCTAGATTTATCTGGAAAGAAATTTTTGGAATGGAAAGTGGATGCCATGATGAATTTAAAAGCTCAAGGGTTGGAGCACACTATTAAAGATAATAAAAGTCCCACTGGTCAAACAACTGATACTACCACTTCTACAATGACGGTTGTAAAACCGGTTACTGAACAAGAAAAGGCAAAAGCATTAGTGTTACCAAGACATCATTTACACGAAGGCCTTAAAACTGAATACATATGGTTGAAGATCCCAAAGAATTGTGGGATTGCCTTAATGAAAGATTTGGACACCACAAAAGGGTGCTCCTTCCTAAGGCATTATTTGACTGGACAAATTTATGGTTCCAGGATTTCAAATCTGTAATCAATTACAATTCAACCATACATGAGATAGTATCTATATTGAGATACTTTGATCATCCAGTCACCGATGAACAGATGATTGAAAAAACACTCACTACCTTTCATGCAAGCAACATACTGTTGCAAGAACAATATCGTGAAAGAGGTTTCAAAAGGTTTAATGAATTAATGAGTGTATTGCTTGTTGCGGAACAAAATAGTGATCTTTTGTTGAAAAATCATAATCTTAGACCAACTGGGTCTTTGGCCACTCATCATGAGGCAAATGCAACAAGTTCTTATCCACCCGAGGCAAATGCTACACGAAGAAGTGGACGTGGAAATTATTGCGGACGAGGCCGAGGACGTGGTAGAAATAATTTTCAAAGAAACAGTAATTTCAAAAATTCTGAAAAACTGAAGGGACAGTCATCTGGAAGCCAAAAACAAACTCCTTCAAAAGGAAAAGACACATGTTACAGATGTGGCATGACAGGGCATTGGGGACGTACTTGTCGTACGACCAAACATTTGGTAGACCTTTACCAGGCATCTATAAAAGGCAAAGAGAAAAATGCAGAAGCAAATTATGATAATGAAGAAAATGCTCCATGTCCTACCCTTGATGTGTCCGATTTTTTCATGGACAATGTTGAAATTGGAAATGATTTCATCTTTGGAGAAAATAACAATGCTTAGATAACCCATCTACTAATGTAATATATACTATGTTTTAATGTTTTATCTGTTATGTACTGTATTTTAAATGTCTAGTCATGTATTTTTAATTTCTATCTTCAATAAAAGTTTGTATGATATTATTCTAAACTAATCTCATATTTATTTTATGAAGATATGGATATGCGTGAAGTTGGTTCCGAATATCAGGGCCTTTTGGACAGTGGAACAACACACACTATCTTGAAGGATAGAAAATATTTTTCACAACTAAAGTTGTTTCAGGCAAATGTAAACACTATTTTCAGGTTAGCTAATTAATTGAAGGATCTGAAAAAGCTTGTATAATGCTTCCAAATGGAACAAAATTGATAATCAATAATGCTTTATACTCGAGTAAATCTCAAAGAAATCTCATAAGCTTTAAAGATGTACGCCAAAATGACTATCATTTAGAAACATGACAACAGGTCAAAAGGAGTATTTATGCCTCACGGCAGGAAAATATGGCAAGAAACACATTTATGAGAAATTGCCAGCATATTATTCGGGGTTATATCGTATAAACATACGACCCATGGAAATCAATATGATATCTAACCAGAAGTTAGATGACAAACATTTGATTATTTTACGGCATGATCGTTTAGGACATCCAGCAACTAGGATGATGCAAAGAATAAAGCGAATTCAATTGGACATTCAATAAGAAATGTCAAAATTCCTCGATCAGATGAATTAACATGCTCTGCATGTTCACTCGGTAAATTAATAATAAGGCCATCTATGAACAAAATTGCTACTGAATCTCCAAAATTCTTAGAAAGAATTCACGGAGATATTTGTGGGCCAATTAATCCGGCATGTGGACCATTTTCTATTTTCATGGTTTTAATTGATGCTCCTACACGATGGTCACATGTCAGTCTGCTTTCAAGGTGGAATGTTGCCTTTGCAAAATTACTTGCCCAAATTATCAAATTAAGAGCACAACTCCCAGATCATACAATAAAGAAAATAAGACTCGACAATTCTGGGAAATTTACATCCCAAACATTTAATGATTATTGTATGTCAATCGGAATTGATGTTGAACACCCAGTAGCTCATGTTCATACACAAAATGGTCTAGCTGAATCACTAGTTAAGAGATTACAATTGATTGCAAGACCATTATTAATGAGGTCAAAATTGCCATCATCTGTTTGGGGAAATGCTATAATACATGCAGCAGCACTAATTAGATTGAGACCTACAACTTATCATAAATTATCACCACTACAACTTGTTTGTGGTCAAGAACCAAGTATCTCACATCTGAAAATCTTTGGTTGTGTTGTATATGTTCCCATTGCTCCACCCTAACGAACAAAAATGGGTCCACAAAGAAGGCTGGGAATTTATGTCGGGTTTGAATCCCCCTCTATAATTAAATATCTTGAACCATTGATTGGTGACTTATTTACGGCTAGATTTGCTCACTGTCACTTTAATGAAGCAGTATTCCCAGCCTTAGGGGGAGAGAAAGTGGACCCACGCAAGAAAGAAATAGAACTTATTTGGAATGCAACACAACTGTGATGTTAGACCCACGAACAAATATGTGTGAACAAGAAGTCAAGAAAATTGTTCATTTACAAAGTGTTGCAAATCAATTGCCTAATGTATTTGTAGACATAAAGAAGGTGACAAAATCACATATACCAGCAGAAAATGCCTCTGCACGTACTGAAATCTCAACTGATAATAAGGCCATTGAGACTGAATCTCAAGCACGCAGAAAGCATGGGAGACCACTTGGTTCAAAAGATTCTAAACCAAGGAAATTGAAAAGATTGGATGGAATAGAAAATGAGACTAATGATGTTCCCCCGTCAGAAGGTCAAGAAAGACCAAATGTGGATAAAAGTAAGGAAAATGATGATAATCCAAAAGGGGACGAACAAGAAGACAACCCTACGGGGAATGAACAAGATGTTCAAAACATCGATAACAATGAAATTTCAATGAATTACGTCTCTACCAAGACTCAGTGGAATAGGAAAGATGTTATCGTGGATGAGATATTTGCAAATTCCATCGCAATCGACATTGTGTCTGATGAAAATGATGTTGAACCAAGAACAGTGGAAGAATGGCTACACAGGAGTGATTGGCCAAAGTGGAAGGAGAAGTCACTTGAGAAACGAGAAGTTTTCGGAAAAATAACTCTTACACCAGCAAGTGTAAAACCCATTGGATACAAATGGGTATTTGTGAGAAAACGTAATGAGAAAAATGAGATAGTTAGATACAAGGCAAGACTTGTAGCCCAAGGATTTTCTCAAATTTCAAGGATTGATTATGAAGAAACATATTCTCCAGTAGTTGATGCAACTACATTAAGATTTCTGGTAAGTTTGACAGTCACAAAAGGACTGCAAATAAGATTAATGGATGTAGTGATTGCGTATTTGTATGGGTCACTCGATACAGACATTTACATGAAAGTCCTCGAAGGACTAAAACTACCATAATACCACAAGCCTAGACAATTACTTTCCGTAAAACTAAAAAGGTCACTTTATGGATTAAAACAATCTGGAAGGATGTGGTATAACCGTCTCAGTAAATACCTTATGAGAGAAGGGTTCAAGAATAACCAAATTAGTCCCTGTGTTTTCATAAAGCGATCACAATCAGGATTCGCTATTATTGCAGTTTATGTTGATGATTTGAATATCATCGGAACCCCAAATGAACTTGAGAAAACTGCAAAATATATACTTGATGAAAGAATTTGAGATGAAAGACCTTGGAAAAACTAAATTTTGCCTTGGATTGCAAATCGAGCACTTGAGTCATGGTATTTTTGTCCATCAATCAAACTATACAGAAAGAGTTTTGAAAAGATTCTTCATGGACAAAGCAACTCCAATAAACTTCCTAATGGTTGTTCGTTCTTTGAGTATGAAAAACGATCCATTCAGACCACAAGAAGAAAATGAAAAAATTCTAGGTCCAGAAGTACCATACTTAAGTGCAATTGGAGCCTTAATGTACTTAGCTAACAACACTAGACCCGACATAGCTTTCTCTATGAACTTGTTAGCCAGGCACAGCAATGCACCAACATATAGGCATTGGAAGGGAGTCCGATACTTACTCCGGTACCTACAAGGAACACAAGACCTTGGTTTATATTATAAACCAAAACAAGATGCTGCCCTCATTGGGTATGTCGACGCTGGATATTTATTGCATCCTCAAAATGCCAAGTCACAAAATGGATATTTGTTCACTTATGGCGGCACTGCAATTTCATGGAAATCAACAAAGCATACATTGACTGTGACATCCTCAAATCATGCGGAGTTGATAGCCCTTTATGAAGCAGGACGAGAATGTGTATGGCTGAGGTCGATGATTAGTAATATCCAAGAAGAGTGTGGAATGAAAGCAGTAACAGAAAATCCAACCACCATCTTTGAAGACAATACAACATGCATCTCTAAAGTAACTGAAGGATATATTAAGGGAGATAGGACAAAACATATATCCCCAAAACTATTCTTCACACATGATCTGCAAAAGGATGAGGAAATAGATATCCAGCAAATTCAGTCTTGTGACAACCTTGCCGACCTGTTCACCAAATCACTTCCTTCCAAGAAATTTGAGCAATTAGTTCACAAAATTGGAATGCGACATCTTCGTAAACTATGCTGAAATCAGGGGGGAGCATTATATGCACTGCACTCTTTTTTCTTTCGATCGGGTTTTTATCCCAATGGGTTTTTCCTGACAAGGTTTTTAACGAGGCAGTATATTAAAGCATATAATATTTTTCTTTAAAGCAACCCATATCCTATTTCATGTGAACATTCAAGGGGGAGTGTTGAGAAAATGCCAAAAATGAAGTTCACATGAACTTGTAACACAATAATTTGGAGCTCATCACATGAACAAATTTAGGACAATAATTTGTATAAAAGTAAAATTATGTAAAATATTTTAATGGCAATATTTGCCTATAAATAAGTTCACTGTTTTGTGAACTAAAGAAGTAAGAAGAAAAACAATCAGATTTCCTACTTGCTCTATTTACTCTAGTCTATCTCCATTTTCATAAAATATCCAATATCATTCTATAGTTAGAAAAACTTTCATCTTTAACAATATTTGATTTTTTTTGGTGAAAAATATTGATATTTGATAGTGTGTTAGAAGATATACTTGCACTAATAGAAAAAGATAAATTAGCACCGCTAAATGCCCACCGGTTTTTAAAAACCGGTGCCAAAAATAAAAAAAAAATTGAGGGAAAGAGTATTCGCACCGGTTGAAACCAAACCGGTGCGAAATGATATAATTAGCACCGGTTCAAACCGGTGCGAATTAAAAACCAAAAAAAAAATAGAGGGAAAGAGTAATCGCACCGGTTCAAATTAAACCGGTGCCAAATGTTGTTATTAGCACCGGTTCAAACCAGTGCGAATTAAAAAAAAAATGGGTTTGCTTCTCTTCTTCTTCTTTCTTTCCCCCTGCTTTTCATTTCTGTTTTCCCTCGCAATTTTTCATTTTTCATTTCTCCTTTCTCTTGAATCCACCTCCTTCTCTCTCCATAACTCTCCTCCATTGAAGCGCGTGCTCTTAATTCTCCATTGAAGGGGATTATGAGCTTTCTCACCTCCATTGAAGTAGCTTCGAGGTAAGATTTTAGGGTTTGTCGTTAATTTCATTGTCAGTATATGTAGTAATTTTAGGGTTCTTGATTAGGGGATTTTTATCCACCAATCACCGTCTGACAAGTGGACCAACCAGGTTCCGCCACGTGTCTTTCACGTAGGCCAATAGGAGCCTGCCACGTGTCAATTGCAGATTCGTCCTCTGCGGACCAATTGAGACACGCCACGTGTCCACCCATGCCAAATGGGAAAACCGGCCACCAAGGCCCAATCCTGTTTAGAGGCCCGATCAGCCCTAGGTTTACCCTAAACCTAGAGAGTGGCACGCTTCTCAAGACTATAAATACTCCTCTT